GGGAATATACCTTCACTGCACTGAGAGAGACAAACAGCACCCAAGTGAAAATATCATCCAAGAAAGCAGGTGAAAAAAGTTATTTTCAGAACAACAAAAACTGAGAGCTTGCCTCTGTCAGCTGGGCCTTCACCGAGAAATCCTACAGGGTGTGCTTGGGGAAGGACAGTGCTCAGCATGCAAGAAGGATGAGACCAGAGATTGGCAGACCTGGTGGACACAGTGGAGAGTCAGGCTGCACTGAACGCCCAACCCCACCACTGCCACTGGGTGAGCTTGTGCAAGTGACTGAAGCTCTCTGACTTCAGTGTCTTTAAAACGGAAGGAATAATTGTAACTAATTCCCTGAGTTGTGATGGGAGACTGAGGTGACCCTAGTAAAGCATTTATAACAGGAAAGAGTACACAGTAAGTGTGCTCAATGCTACAAATTATTATTCATCTTTAAAATTGTGACTTAGTTCCTACGAATACTGAAATTGCTTATCAGAAAAAATAAAAAGATGCTTCCAAGGCTCTCAGATTAGTAGAAAAAAGAAAATATATGGAAACTCACTCACACACACACACACACACAAACTTAGTAAACAAATACATACAATCAAAAAAGAAAAGGCACAGGGTTCAGCCACAGTGCTGCTAAGATGCTGTTGCTTGGGGGCTAAGGCCACATGGGAGGCCCGGGTTTGGTTCCCAGCTCAACCTAAGCAGGCCAGGTGTGGAGGCATGCACCCATGGTCCTAGCTGGCTGGGAGACTGGGACAGGAAATTCCCAACTTGGTGAGACCCTGTCAAAAAATCAAACTCCTCTCTCTTATAAATAAGTAAATAAATACACTAAGGGAAAAAAAAAGAAACAGAAGAACAGAAAAAAGGAAAGTGGCAGATTGAACATATTCACTTAGATTTGCTTCCTCATGAAAGTCCATTCAACAGTCCTAAAATAAACTTCCATTTGCCTTGTGTAGGCATAAACATCGAAGACCAAAGGGAATACAAGCAGGAAACTAGACTTAGGAAGCTAAAAAAGCAAATGGGTGGTGTAATTGCTCCATAGACCCAAGAAAGCCAAATCCCTAAATTGGTAACAGGAAAGACAATTTATCCTGGTTTATACCACAGCATCCCCAAGGGCTCGGGAAACTACAGAACCAGATAACTCAGAATTAGGGTCCAAGGATGGGCTGAAAACAGGAGAATGTGTTAAAAGGTCTATTTCAGAAGCAGTTCATTGCCAGGATTCTCTTCTACATCTCAAGCACTGAGGCGTCAGCACCTCCATGGTGATGGCAGAAAACAGGAGGAATGTTCTCTGGATTGAGAGATGCTTAAAAGTGGGGTGCCAGGCACAGCTGCTGATGAGGGACCATGTGGAAATTGGAGGATAAGTTAAAACCAGTGGACAATGAGACTTCTCACCTTTCAGTCATGTACTTTCAAAGCTGATGTCAACTAGGTACAAAAATTCCAGGCAGGAATTAAGAGAATTTTCCTTGGGCTTCTGACCAGCCCACAAGAAATAACCACGAAACATTGACATGGGGGGGTTCCCTAGGAAGTTGCTCATCCAGAGCCACCAACTGTAGAGACCAAAGTGGGTAACGTCCATGCACGGGTCAAAGCTCCCAGCTCCGGAGAGCCCCACCCTTAAATATGAATGGACAGGGAAGGGTCAGTGCATTCAAAGAGAGAGAGCTGCTAACACTAGACACATACCCAATAATAAATATGCAAATATAAAAAGCATTTTGGAATAAATAGAGACTGTGCAGAGAGAGGACAACTTTTTCTCTTTTCTCTATGACCAAGAGACAGAGAGAAAGAGGAGAGAGACCGGCACCCTCCAACAGGCTCTCCACACCGTGATCCAACCCCAGGCAGCCACAGATCATGGGCACACGCATGCCAGAACCCTCCCAAGTGGGTCAGCCCCACAGAACACTACCCTTGTATCACTTTCTGGCTCCCAAAGAAGAAAACTTTTAAGACAGAAATCGTATTATTACTATCTGCAGAAAGATGAATAAAATACAACAAAAAAGGAATATTTGGAGACCAAAAAAAAAACCAAAACTACAGAGACAATTACATGTACAGTAACAGTATGATGAACTCAGTAGAAAGTTTAGAAGATAAAGTTGACAAATTCTCCTAGAAAGTAGGGTAAAATGACAATAAATAGAAAAAGAAGAAAATTATAAAATCTGGTCTAATATTCAAATAATACAAAGAAAGAAAAATAGAAAAAAACAATGGGGAGGACATCAAAGAAGTGTGTTTATGTAGTGTGTGTGTCCATAGTGATTTAGACAGGATCTAACTGCATCACGGTCCTCTTGCCTGAGCCTCTGGAGTAGCTGGGAACATAGGCACGTGCTCGTGGGCCTGGCTCTTTCAGACAGGGTCTCACTGTTGCTCTCACTGGCTGTGATCTCAGGATCCTCCTCCCTGGCCTCCTGAGTAGGGGGCTACAGGCATGCACCAACATGCCCCTTAATGTGGGTTGGCAACTGAACCTGGGCCTCCTCTCTGGCCTCACCCTGCCCAGTATCAGCATCCAGCATGTACAAACATGGGCCTCACAGAAATCTTGCCCAGGGACCAGCAGGTGGTGTGGTGGTTAACGTGCTGGACTCCCACATGGCTTAGCTTTCTATTTCTGACTCTCTCTGGTCAAATTGAATAATAATAATAAAAAATAAAATTAAATGAATAACTCTCAAAAATAAACTAAAAACAAAAAAATACTTTGCCCAAACTGAAGGACATGAGTTACAGAATGAAAGGGTTCCCCAGTGCCGAGTAAAACAGACAAAAATGCCACACCAAGACACATGGAATATCAGGAGCTGAGAGAAAATCCTACCCTTGCAGTGGACAGAGATGGAAAATGGCAGGTTTCCAATAAGAAATCACAATGACAATGCATTTCTCAACAGAGCACATAGAAACTTGCAGACCTTGAACAATGCCTTCAAAACCTGGAATTAGGTATCCAACAAAACACTCACATCAAGAATAGGTAAAGAATGAAAACATTTTCAGACATGAAAGGGTCTAGCAATTTCCCTCCCATGTACCTCTTCTGTGGAAGCTATAAGAGGATGTACGTACCCCATCAAAATAAGATTGTAAATTAGGAACGAGGATACATGAAACAGAGGATCTAGAACAGAAGAGAGGATAAGGACACCAGTATGATACCTAAAAATCAGAGTTGTAGCAAAACTAGAGAGTAAATAGCCCATACTGGCTCAGGGTGCAAAGCCTTGGGAGTAATTTTTTTCAAGAAGTTAAAATATGTTTGAACTTATGAGATTTATACAGAGAATTTGGGTGTTAATGAGTGATACAGAAATAGAATACCAAAGTAAGAATTATTTTCTTGGGCCAGCACGTGGCATGGTGGTTAAGGCATTTGACTCCCACATGGCTGACTGAGGTTTGAATCCCAGACCTAGCAGCTTGAAAAATCACACCAGGTGTGTGTGCGTGTGCACCCAAAATCCCAGGAAGAGAATGGAGAAGGAATTGCATAGTGGCTATCCCCCCGGGTTTGGGGGTGACTTCATACTTTCCCTCTCGCTGTCTCTGTCTTTTCTAGAAAGTAAAAGTTGGACGGAAAAGGAAAAGGCTCCACTGTAAAAATCACATACTGGGGCAGCCCCGTAGCACAGTGGTTAAGCACTATGCCTAGGAAGCCAAATCCCACATGGCTGACCATTAGCCCTAGCCCTGACATCTTGAAAAACACACCGGGTGCACATGCATGCCCAAAGTCCCGACAAGATAGAGAAATGGAGAAGGGATTGTGGTATGACCAAACCCCTTAGAGGGAGGGTGTTTTCTTCCTCTCTCTCTCTCAAGAGGATGTGTACATGCTGGCAATTAAAACAAAAATCACTCTTGTAGTCATAAAAGTATAAATCCTGTTCTAACCAAAATTAGGGTGTAACTCTCTGGCAAAAATCTCTATAACTTAAGAGGGTAAGAAACAGGTTGGAAAATGTTACAAGAAATAACAGAGATAAGAAATCCTATAATAGGGAGCAGCAGATGGCGCAATGATTACATTGCTGGACTCCCACATAGTTTACTACAGTTCAAGTCCTGGATCTGGTGGCCTAAAACTCACACCTGGTATATGCATGCCCAAAATCCTGAGAGGAGAATGAAGGATAATGGCTTGCAGCATGGGCATCACCCCTAGGGGATGATATTTCTCACTTTATATCTCTCTGTCTCTCCAGCAAGCACATGTGCCCTATGCAAAACAAACTCTCCTAAAAAAAAAAAGAAAAAGAAATTCTACAATAAATAGATTCCTGAGTATGTCTCTAACCTCAATGTTGAAGCAGTTTTTTTTTTTTTTTTTTAATTGGCCAGAGGGCCAGAGAGTGTGTTGGTTTGCTGGGGAGAGAGGAGACAGACAGAGAAGAGAGAGAAAGAGAGAGAGAGAAAGAGAGAGAGAGAGAAAAAAAAGCATCCCCCATGGGGAATGGTCATGCCGTAATCCCTTCTCCTACATTCCTCCCTCCTTTCAGGATTTTGACATGCACACACATGCCATGTAGCATGTTTCTCAAGTTGCTGGATCCAGGACTTAAACCATGTAGTTGGCCACCTGAACCACCACACCACAGGCTAGTCCTGAAACAGTTCTTAATTTGTCATGCGCTAAAAACCATGATCTACAATCTTTACAGATTGTAGTTAAGACTTCTTACTAACCATCTTTTATCTAGGAAGGACATTCAAAAAACATTAGAAGATAAAAAGAGAATTAAAATTTAAATCTTACCGGGACCAGCAGCTGGTGTGGTGGTTAAGGCACTGGACACTCCCACACATGGTCAACCATGGTTCGAGTCCTGGACCTGGTGGCTTGCTTTCTCACTTTCCTTACCTCCCTCTTTCTCTCTCTCTCTGTCTCTCTCTTTGGTCAAATTAAAGTAAAATGAATGAATAAATAAAATTAAAACAAAAAATTAAAATCTTACCTGCCACCTTCTCCAATAGCTCCAACCACTTCCTGTGCAAGTCGCAAAGCCGTGTCCTGACTGTACCAAAACTGGCTCAGTTGCTGTCATAGAGGGATGGATTGATGTCATTTCAGCTGGCATCATTTTGTTCTTCTACTTTGTACCTACTATACTAGTGTGCATACATTACAAGTTTTTTCCTTTTCTTCTTTGGAAAATAAATTTCTCTTTGAAATTATTTTAAATTGAAACAAGTTCCTAAGGAATGGATGGAATCTGGGCACTGAGTATTGATGGCTGCTCACATTACAAAAAGAGACAACTAGTCCCTGCTTCTAATGGGAGAACATACCTCCCGCTGCCTTTATGAGTTTTGCCAGAAAAAGAAAAACTGAACTTGAACCTGATTAAGCTTCTAGATTCAACTACCCCTGAATAGCATTACATACATAGTGGATAGAAAACCAGACTCAGGATTTACAACCCATGGAATACAATCAGCACAACCCAGACTGTTCCTTTCCCATGCCTCATCTTTACCTTAGGCATGATTTCTGGATTACTTTTTTCCCCAGGGATAAGTCATTTGATTTTCATATTTGTTTTAACTCTCAATTATTTTTGTTAAGTTTATCCATTTATCTCTTCAATGAAGTCACAGGCATAGACACACCCGTGCCTGGCATGCCTCAGGGAGGTCCCAGATACAAACCCAGGACCTTTCTAAAGTGGGTCCAGTTGTGTTACCACTATGCCATTGCTTGGCTTATCATTCCATCTTGCTCCTTCTGTTTCAGGCTCATTCATGCTTTTCATTAGATATCCAGTGATCCTTAATTGTTTATTCATATTTTTAACGTAAGGATGATTTTAATGGAAAAATAAATACCTTGTTTTTCCTCTACAACTGTATAGGCCCATCCTTCAACAAGCCTCTCTCCCCCCTGAACGGCAGAGCTGGGGGTGGGACAGTCTCACAGGGCATATAAGCTGGGGATCTCTGCTTTAAAAATCCCAGAATGGAAAGAACCCAAATGCCCATCAGCTGCTGAACGGATAGACACCATATGCTATATCTATACAGTGGAGTTTTATCCGGCCATAGAATGGAATGAGATACTGATACACATGTACAACATGGATGAGCCTTGGAAAGATTACGCTAAATGAAAGAAATCAGACACAACAAGAACACATATTACATACTTCCATTTATATGAAATGTCCAGAATAGGCAAATTGTTAGAGAGAGAACACAGATTAGTGGTGCCAGGGGCTGGGAGGATTGGGGGATTAGGAGGTGATAGCTAAAGGGTATAGGGCGTCAGTTAAGGCAGTGAGAATGTTATAAAATGTGCTGAAAGTTGCACCAATCTGTGAATATAAAAGCCACTGAATGGGGCCGGAAGGTGGCGTGGTGGTTAAGAGCGCTAGACTCCCATATGATTGACCATGGTTCAAGTCCCAGACCTGGTAGCCACCTTGCTTTCTCACTTTCTCCCTCTCTGTCTCTTGCTCTGTCCCTCTCTGGTCAAATTAAAATAAGTAAATAAAGTTAAACAAAATTATTTTTTTAAAAAGCCACTGAATCATGCATTTTAAAAGGGTTAACTCTACAGCATATAAATTATATCGCAACAGAACTGAAATATGCTCAAATAAGAACTCTGAGAAAGGGGGACGGTAGCATATTTTCCCTCCTGAGTGAGGCTGCCTTTTTCCCTTTCTCTGTCTAGGGTGAAGTTCCGGAGTTAGCTTAGGTTCTATTCTATGTCTCTTTCTGGCTTTCTCACCCAAATTAGGGCATTCCCAAAGCAGATTCTCCAGTTTGTTTATTCAGAAATCCCCTGAGATTGGACCTGGAGGCAAAGACCCAAGATAGTACTTATGACTTCTGGATAGGAGTAGGAGAAGAGATCAACTGGTCCAACCATGATGGCAGGCCACCCTTGAATTAATCACGCAGGCATAAGCCCATATAGCACTTTTACACTCCATGTTCACATGCTCCAAGTATGGAGCACAGTCTTCATGGTTCTCCACTGGAAGAAAGACTCCCATCCTTGTGGCAGTTCTCTCTGCTATTTGACCAACACCTACTTTCTCTCTTCCAGAAATCCCGTGATTTCTAGTTAGTCAATACATCCTTTGTTCTTTCACTATTTTCTAATATTGTAATAATTCTTTTTTGCTGCTAGAGGGTGCATACACTCACCAGAGACAGAAAGACAGGGAAAGAAGGAAGCATGCCCCATGAGGAATGACCATGCAGCAATCCCTTCTCTTCCATCTCTCCCTCACACTGGGATTTTGGGCATTCATGTGACCCCAGCATGTTTCTTAAGCCACTGGACCCAGGAATCGAACCATACATCAGCTATGTGGGATATGGCTGCCTTAACGGCCAGGCCATGGAGGTGGTCCCCCTAAAAAATCCTCCTCTTAATGAATTTATTATATGAACATGGCTTTAAAAGTCAAAAGCACTACTAGGCTTATAATCTAATACGAGTCCCCTCACCCTGAGCCCCACTCCTCAGAAGTAGCTGTCTTGGGAACCAGCATAATGGCTATGTCGCTGGACTCCCACGTAGTTGACTGCAGTTCACGTCTCGGACCTGGTGGCTTAAAACTCACGCCGGGCGCGTGTGCGTGTGTGCCCAAGATCCCGAGAGAAGAATGGAGGAGAAGGGACTATCCCCCCGGGGGGTGATTTCTCGCTTTCTGTCTCTCTCTGTCTGCCTGGCGAGCGCACTCGCCCTATAGCAAAAATCTCTCAAAAAAAAAAAAAAAAGAAGTAAC